TACTATGTCTTCTGTGAAATGTAAAACCAATCATGTAACCTTGCTTGGAAAATAGTATATAAGAAGCGTTCAAAATGTGGGTCTTTGGGTACCTGTCTTGGGACACGAGTCCACAGGAATCCCGGGCCCTGGAATAAAGCACCGCATAAACTAACACTCTGTTGGTTTGTGTCCTCATTACGGGCAGCAGTTTTCTGGCGACCACGAAGGGACCTCCGAGGGTTGCTGGGGCGGATCGCGAGCTGATCTACTCCACGCCGGCAAGCCAGGTGAATTCCTGGGGAGGACATCCACCCGTGACCGACCCCCCGCGCCCGTCGGACGACCACGAGGTAAGCCCGGAGGTGCTTTATCCTAATAGCAGTGGTAAAAGCCTACCTGTTAGACGGGACTGTGTATACCCGCTGGGTTGGGCGAAAAGAGGAATTGGGGAAGCCTAGGCGCTAGCTGTAAGTCGCAAGCGGAAGCTGCGCGGAGCTAGCATTTGCCGAGAGGGGTAAAATCGGCAAATTGGTTGTGGTAGCCGTTTCGTTAGACTCGGCAAAAGTGGCGCCGAATGAAATTCGACAAAAATTGGTTGTGGTAGCCGTATCGTTAGACTCGGCAAAAGCGGCGCCGAATGAAATTCGGCAAAAATTGGTTGTGGTTGCTGTATCGTTGCGAAAGCGGCGCCGAATGAAATTCGGCAGGAATCGGCTGTGATAGTTGTGTCTTTGGACGCGGCGGAGGACGGCGCTGAGCCGACATCTTGCCGTGGGGGGACGGGACTAGGCGGGAGTTGGTTGCGGTGGCTGTGTCGTTAGACGCGGCAGAGCGCGGCGCTGAGCCGGGATCTTGCCGTGAGCGGTGGAGTTCGGCGGCGTTGGTTGTGGTCGCGTGCGGTGCCGGCCGTGAGCGCAGCAGAAACTGCACAGAGCCGACAGTCGCTGTAAACAGCAGAGCTCGGCAAGTTAACCGTAAAATGCCGCAAAAGGCTGCAGCAAAGACGGTGGTTTCCGGCTGGCGAGTCGTAAAAAATCCGGTCTCGCAGCGGCTTGTGGTATCAGTAGTTCACGTACGTGTTTCGCGTTGTTGTAAATATGTCTTTTAAAACCTCTAAAGCGTTATCGTGTTCTGAAATGTGTGGCCCCAGTGCGATACGGGGGGGGGGGCGATACGAACTCGCGGTGAACAGCGAAACCGCCCAACAGGGCGGCCCAGGCGGCGCTGGGCACCGCCGGCGTGTATGAGCGCGCCCGGGGCGCCGTAGCGTGTGTGTATGTGTGTGTGCGCGCCCGGGGCGCCGGTGGTGTGTGTGTGTGCGCTCAGGGCACCGGCCCGGGCGATGCTGAGCAGCGGCTGGCAGAGCCGACCCAGGCGGGCGGTGCTAAGCGGCGGCACCGGGCGAAAGCGAGCGCAGAGCGGCTGAGACGGCCCAGGGAGGCGGCGTCGCCGTCCCGGCGGGGCGAGGGGGAGCGGGGTCGCGGGGAGCGACCGGCCCGGCCGGGGGGCGCTGCTCGCGCACGGGGCGCTCTGGCGGGGGCTCCATTTTCGCGTCGGGTGTGAGGCTGGTGCGGTGCCGGAACCCGCCGGCCCCGCCGCCTGCCCCGGGCAGGGAGGGTCTTTGGTGCTTGGGGAGCGCTCCCGGCCCGTGCCCGGGGCTCCCTGGGGCAGGACGGGCTCGGCCATGCAGCGCCTGGGCGAGGCGGTCGGAGCGGCGCCGTGCTGGCCGCAGGCGTGGGTCTGTGACTAACAAAAGAGGCGGCGGCGAGTGCCGCAGGCCAGTGGGGGCCAGGCGGCGCGCTGCGGAGGAGTCAGCACCAGCCGCAGGGGGAGCGGCCCGCGCGGTGTCAGGGTCGAGTACCGGCGGCGGGGGCCGCGCAGGGACAACCAGCGTGACTGCGCGTGCGGCGACTCCGGGCGCATCGCTGAGTGGCGCAAGCAGAGTAACAGAGTTCCTAGCCCTCTGAGGGACTTATAAAAACCAGAGTCCCAGTCGCGAGATGGGATCCCTAGAAACCTCAACCATCTAACACAAAGTTTCAAGGTTTTTTTCTCCCGACCAGCAATGGGGGGGGGGAAGGGGGGGCGCAGCCCCCGGAGCTAAAACCAGCACGGGAGAGGAGGGGGCGTAGCCCTGCCAAAGTGGTGAGGGGAGAGAAGGATCCCTTGCCGAAAAAGCAGCAAGGCGGGAGAGTCCCCTGTGCAAATAAGGAAATGTAAACAACTGAAGAACTCTCAGAATGGCCCCGGGGCTCTCAGACGCTTCCAAGATTTTTTTTATTTTTTTTTTTTTTTTTTTTTTTTTTTTTTCAGGAC